AAAGGAAAAACAGATAGCCAACCTTCTGGAATGAGGAGACAAGTTGGGGAGTATTTAATTTTATGAATATGAGAGCAACATTCAACACTGCATTTCCCATTATTTTAGAGTCATGTGGGAAAGAATCATGTTAGAAACCCCGAGGGAACTGAAGTTGTCAAAAAGCAGGTCCCTGCCTCAAAATGAGTGCGCCTTTGAAATCTACATTTTGTGGCTGTTAGTAATCCTGTAACAATTATGAAGTGAGCAGAAGTGCTGAGGTGTGCTGTCCAACGGGACGACAAGGAGTTCTTGTTCTGTCTCTTGAGGCATCGTCTACTTTTGCTGCCTACGTCTGCAAGATCTTCTGAGCGAGAATTAGCCCCAGGAGCTGTGCACACAGATAAGCTGCCTGGCCTCTTCCCAAGAGCCTCTGCCTGCAAGTACATTAGCCAGATGCCAAGGTGAGAGGTACATTCTGAAAGCCCCGCTTCCCAGATATACTCACCCGATAGAGATGGAGGTCATGGAATGAGAGGTGGGGTGCAAAACATCTGTATCTTGTAGCAGGAGAAAATGAAGCCCACAGAGAAAATGCATCTTCACCCCCAAAAGTGTTTTCTAGATAGTTACCTGTTACTGGCTCCCACTGTTTGGACATCATGTACTCTAACTTGCCAATAAAGGCAGTGACCTTGTCCGAGGCTCAGGAACCGCTTTTGATCACTTACCTTGTGCACAAATTGTTCCACTCTGGTCTGAAGCCCCCACACCTCAAACTTCACGGTCACCAGCTTGTAGGAGCACATGATGGGTTGATGACTATCTCTCCAGCCTTCCCTCAACTGTCCCCGACCTGTCTTCTCAGACTTGAAGTGTTTAGGATCCTAGGAAAAATATGTCAGAGAACTTGATGTATTAAAAATTTAACCATCTGTATGAGATTCCAGAATAGGCAAATCCAGAGATAGAAAGGAGATTATTGTTGGCCAGGGGCTGGGGACAGGAAAAGATGTGGGGTGACCACGAAAGGGTCAGCATTGATGAAAATGTGTTGGAAATAGTGTCAGTGATTCTCTGGTAGAGCACTTGCCCTGGGTTTGATCCCCAATATTGAAAAAAAAAGGTGAATTCTATACATTTCAGCTTTAGAAAGGGAGGATTATAACATAATTAATTGGCAAAAGGTAGCTTACCTGTGATTATGCCAAAATAGGATTTAGCTGGAGGCATGGCTCAAGTGTTAGAGCACCTGCCTTGCAAGCACAAAGCCCTGAGTTCAAACCCCAGTCCCACTAAGAAAAACCATGATGATTTAAAACTAGAGTTATTACATTGCATTGTATTCTTTCCTTGATCTTAGGGGTCAATAAGCTTTATGAAAAACAAAACAAAAACAAAAAACAAGAGTCCAATCTAAAAGTGGTTCCACACTTTTGGATAATTGCTCAGCATATACCTACAAACATGCCTGCTTTTTAATTTTTTTTGGTGGCATTGGGGTTTGAACTCAGGGCTTCATGCTTGCAAGGCAGCCCTCAGGCTACAGCAGGCCTCACACAAATAAACACTGGTTTCTTCTGTCAGATCTGGCTGACCTGAGGTTCCTTCTGGCCATGTGGAGGCCTCAGGCTGCCCGTGACTTTCCTCCCAGATCCACTCCTCACAGGACCTCTGTGCTGTGAGCACTCCCACCACTGCAGTTGCCCCCAGGGCCAGTTCTCACCCTAGGCCAACACCAATCCTTCATGAAAGGTGAGGCAGAGGCCTTGTTCTCTCTGCCTCTTTTCAGTCCCTCTGTCTGACTGTCACCCCAAATGATAGCCTGACCCTGTCACTCTCCTCCTTAGAGTCCATCCACAGATAAAATTAAGACACCTGGCATGAATCCAAGATCCTTTGTGTTACTGTTTGTCTGTCCAGCATCTTCTCTGGATCACCATCCTAATGCCACGCTGTACCCTCAGCCTTAGGAAATTCCTGGTAGCCCCATTCTCCAAAGCCCGGGAATTCCTGGGTCTCCTGGGTTAGTCCCTTCTCCTTTTTCCCAGCGAGCCCCCACTCTGCCAGTCTCCCCTTTACTTTCTTTCAGACTGAACTGAAGCATCCCCTCTCCCAGGACTCTGGCTGCTGTAGTTGAATGAGGGCTCCTCCTTTGTCCTGAACCTGGCAGGTGGGGGGATTCTGTAATCATATGTCTGCTTATTACCTCCACTAGACTGTGGCCCCTTGAGCACAATGGGTCCCATTGCCACCATCCTGGCACATCACAGATGTTCAATAAATGCCTGAACCCTGTTTGAACTTGTCATGCACACATGACTGAGGTATCAGAATCTTAGCCAAAACACTTAAGTGAAAGACTAGTTAAAATACTATACACACAAGAATAAGTATTGACAGACATGGAAAAATTACAGCTCTACATTGCTGATGGGAATGTAAAATGGTGTAACCACTTTGGAAAACTTTTCAGTACATCCTCAAAAGGTTAAACATAGACTTTCCAACATTTAACCCATTCTTAGATATCTACCTGAGAGAACTGAAAACTATGTACTTATAAAAAACTTGTCCACAAACGTTTGCAGACATTTAATGTCCATCAGCTGATGTCTTTCAAATGGTGAGTGGATACACAGAGTGTGGCACATCCATGAGTGGAAAGTCATTCAGTCACAAAAAGAAATAAAATACTGATCATGTGGCAGTGAAGATGAATTTGAAGAAACCTGACATCAATTAAATGAAGGCAGTTACTAAAGCTCATACCGTGTCATTCCATTCATGGGAAATGTCCAGAATGGGTAAGTCTATGGAGAAAGAAAGTAGTTTGGTGGTTGCCCAAGGAGGGAGAAGGAATTGGTATGGAAATGACTGCAAATGTTTCCTTTTGGGGTGATTAAAGTGTGCTACCTCAGTAGCATTTTGGGGGTATACTGGCTCTGTTCCTATGTAAAGTTATAAAGGTCATTATCCCAAGCACATGGTTGCTGAGTGTGCTCAGCAGGCCTTGTATGGGCCAGGAGCTATTTCATGCTCTATTTATGATGGTAATAAATAAGGAAGTGGGAGAAACTTCTGGAGGTGCTGGATATGCGTGCAGGTAACATCATGGTGATTGCTTCATGGGTCATGCACCCATATCTCCAAACTTATCAAGCTGCAGACACTGATTATGTATACCCTATGCATGCAAAGACATTACAAAGCATGTTGAATTCATGAAAAAAATAATAAACACCAATAAATCAAGAGATGTATCACTAGATGGATGTTGGTGGAAACTCTATCAAGATGGCCGCCACCGGTTCCTCCCCTCACTGCATTAGCCTGCTGTCCCTCTCAAGAGGTGGAATCTATTCCTTCTCCCCTTCAACCTAGACTGGGCTATGACTTGTTTTGACCAATAAGATGTGGCAGAAGAGACACTGGGCCAGTTTAAACAGGAACTGTTTCACTCCAGTGTGAAAAGACTAGCCTGGTTACCCCAGACCACCATGCTATGAGGAAGCCCAAGAAGCCACGTGGTGAGGCACGTGGGGGAGCCTCGGTCAGGTCTAAGGTGCCCCAGCATCCCAGCTGAGCCACGTGAGGGCAAAAGCCACCTCCGCAGTTCACTCTCAGTGAGCTCCAGGAGGAGCAGGGGACCCGCCCCATGAAGTTTAGTCAAGCTTGTGAGCAGTCACGCACTGCTGTTCTTTTAAGCCCTAAATTCTGGGGTGGGTTGTTCCTCAGCCAGAGCTGACAGAACAGAAGCGTGAAGTGGACCACCAAAGATGAGGAGAATGAACCATGACTTTGTGCTTTCACAAACAAACTAAGAATTCCTGAACTTTGAGGCCACATGTCTGAAAGTTATACACAAGGTAATTTATACCTGCCGAGTAGTCCCTGTGAGTTAACTATAGCAGCTAGAATTGAACAGGGAAAACTGGTTTCTTTCACAATTTACCTTTCTTACAATGGAGGCCAATGCTACATATTATTAACTGCATGTGGACAGCCACACTAAGTCTTCCACTCTGTGGTCACTACGGATGGGCAAACCCTCTCGACCCTGAGTGGAGGTCGTCCTATTTGGGTTAGTACCTGTGTAAACAGATTATGGTTACAGAGCCAGCAAGGAGTGGAAAGCAAGAGGCCAAAGCTCCCAGCAACCCAGAGTTGCAGGAGACAAAGAACCCAGTGAGCAGAACAAGGAGGGCTGGCACCAGAGGGAGGAAATGAAATAAAACCAAGGCCATGGCCAGAGCTGCCTTCATAGGCCTCAGGTCCTGCACCGCGGGGCTGAACAAGGGCCTGTAGATGGGGGCACCTGAACCAGCTGCCCCTGCTCCTGCCTTCCTTGGTTTACTGCTATTGCTTGTTTCTTCAGCTCACAACCCTCTGAATTTGCAAGCTATTTATTCCATAATCATCTGGTATATTCTAGGACCACACTACACAAGAAGAAAACAGGACTGCATCATTAAAAGTGGAACCCAGGTAGAGGGCGTATCCAAAGCAATCTCAAACTACGGGCCTCACAGCAAAATTCAGTTCAGAATAAGACTAAAAAGTCCTGCTCACACAGCAGAACCTCTAGGGATGCTTAAATGAATGTGTGGGTCTTGATTGCACTACAAAATTATAAAATTATATTACCCTACTGCAAAATAAAGTTGTGGGAAAAGGCTAGATGGGAATGACAAGTACACTGTGTTTTCAAGATTTCAGAATAAAAATTTTTTTAAGCTGAAAGTGGTAATTTGGTTTCATGTCCTCAATTTTATAGATAAGGACATGGAAGCCTGAGAGGAAGGAAATACTTCACCTCCAAATCATAGGTACTTGGTGACAGGCAGCCTCTCCAAATTCTAGCCTAATGTTCTTTCCAGGACATTCACATATTAAATAGCAAAAGAGTGTCTTTGTTATAGCTAGATGCCAAAGAACCAATTAACAATTGGGCTTTTTATGGCAACAGTGTGTTGATTTTTTGCAAGATTGGTGTCATATCTACAGCTGTTGGTTTCATCTAGTAAGTCAAACTTGGCCTGTAATTAGAGATTCACTTTTAAAGTGAAGGGAAGAAGGAGAAAGGGGTATACCAGGGAATGCCTTTCATCACAAGTTCAGATCAGAAATGATCATTCCAGTGTTTGAATGGAAATGAGCTAAAAAAAAAAGATGGTGTCACCAAACCACCAGGTCTATCTGAAAAAGTCTGGTCACTGCCCACTTCTCTGTTCTCATCCCGTTCCCAGCACCTCAAAATACTGGTTCTTCTTAGAGTCATTCCTTCTACTCCCATCTTCTCACTAGGGTTTCTAAACATACGTATCTACATGGTTCCAGTTTTGGTGGTGGGACTGAGGTTTGAACTCAGGGTTTCATGTTTGCAAAGCAGGCACTCTACTACTGCTGGAGCCACACCTTCAGTCCATTACACTATGGTTATTTTTGAAGAAGGGGGTCTCATGAACTATTTGCCCTGCTGGCTTTGAACCTCAATCCTCCTGATCTCAGCCTCCCATGTAGCTAGGATTACAGGCACAAACCACAGCACCAGCCCCATATCGTTCTTCATAAAAGAACAGGATTTTCTTACATTTTAGCCTTTCATTTTCAGGTTTCCTTATTTAATTTAATTAATTAATATATTTATTTATTTATTTTTGTAGTGCTGAGGATCAAACCCAGGCCCTCATGCATACTCGGTAAGCACTCCACCTACTGAGCTACACCCTTACCCCAGCAGATTTCCTTATTTTACTTATTTATTTATTTATTTGGTGGCATTGGGGTTTGAACTTAGGGCCTCATGCTTCCTAAGCAGGTGCTGTTACTGCTTGAGCCACTCCATCAGACCTTTTTTGTATTGGGTATTTTCAGGATAGGGTCT